AACCAGCTCTATATATGTTGGTTTTCTGATGAAGTAAACTTGCTCAGTAGCTCACCCGGTTACAGCATTGCACTTGCGTTAAAAGAGTTCAAAGACTTGTAGAATCAAGCTAAAATGGCATGGTTGTTTCAGTAAATGTATTTTTAATCTCACGCTTGCTTTTCTTAACACTATTGGTTAGGTTTATTGGGTTCAGTTTAGTTAGTACGTTATTTCCAAATGCAATAGAGCATTAACCTTTTAACGCCACTTCATTTCATTTCCGAACTGCCGCGATGCCTACAATGTAATAAAACATTGGCAGGTTCAAGTTCATCTGTTTCATGGCCGATTTTTAATACTTGTTCAGCTTCAATCATAATTAAATTCCTTTACGGAAAGAATTCAAATGGTTCTACTTTTGTTAAACATCACATATGGATTTGATTTATAAATAAGATTTCCATTAAGAGAGTCTTTCCTCCATAATTTACTAATAAAAGAGAGCTAGAGGACAGATGTGCCCAATACATATGCAATTGCAAATGATAAATAATTTGCAAATAACTGAATAGTGACAGTGGAATTACAGCCGATAACTGCAACCAGTAATTTGCTATGGTTTGCCTGCACCAGTGTTTTTAGTTTGTACTGTAAATGTAAGTCCTAACCAGTGTCATATGTCAAGCAGCGAGTCATGACGGCTTTTAAAGATCATTTAGAGATTTACACACTGTAACATTTGGTTTGGGCTTAAGTACTTACATGTGCATATGAGGGGTTTTAGTGAATTAAACAAATACTCTCATTATATTCTACTTATCAAATCCTTTCACATGACCATCCAACTTGTATGATGTTTTTACAGTTTCTTGATATGATTATGATGATCATATTCGAATACTCATATTCTAATCAAGTTGGCCAGATTGCCTATATGTATTGTAAAGGCAAGTTTTTAAGATTGTAAATGACACACATTTAGGGTGAAGAGAGTGTTTTCTAATTGCTTAGTAATTAAAAGATAGTCATATTGAGAACAATTTACCACAAATTATGTTTTTGCTGTATTTTAGATCAAATAAATGCATCCAAAAAACAGCAAAAACAGTAATATTGTGAAATACTGCTATAATATTGTGAAATTTCAGCTAAATGCTTCTTTTGAAAAAATTGTACACAACTGTTTAATATATATATATATATATATATATAGCCCTACATGCAATAAAATATATGAATCTATGCAGTCACATAAATGATAATGTCATGGGCTTGTTTACATGGAATTATATATTCACATACTACTTTTCTGTCAAAAGATATCTGAATAAAGTGGATTAGTTTAGGGCTAGCACATTCAATGCCCTGAACTACAAACATCTCTGCTCCTCAACAATCACACACACCCACATCACTTTCTACGTGCCTCAGAGGCGGATCCAAAGTCAAGGCTGTTGGCTCAATCGCATGCTGTGCTATCGAGCTGACCGGAGCCTGTTTTGTTCCAGAGCTGTTGCGCAGGATCAACACCTCTTAACTGTCGTAATAAGCTGCAGACAGACCCGCAAGAAACAGCAGATCCCTGAAGGCCACAAGGGCTAAGCCGGGCCTGGTGCGGTCCACATATCAGAACCGTGCATGTGTTTTCCATCATTAATTAGCTGGGATGTTTGCTGCATGCATTCACCAAATAACCGCAAATTATTATGTAACATTTCTGCCAGTGCAGGCAATGCACATGGCAGCTAGCCAACATAAACTACGCGCAGGAATGCAAATGGCCTTTGATTTGGGCCGTGAGCCTGAAAACATATTGTAAGCACATATAAACTTGATCTGATATTTGTTTGGAATGGCCAAGCTGTTGTTGTCATTGTTTGCATTCCGTCCTCTTGATCGCGACGTTATTACATGAACATGACTGTTTAAAGAGAAATTATACACTTGTATAATTGCGCAAGAACTATTTGATTGACATTTTGGCTTAGAAACTATTTCAGCATCAAATGACGAACAGCAAAGTTCACCAGTATTTTGCTGTGACCTCTGTGAAAGAGTGCATCATTTGGAAAGCATTGAATTGTACCCTTAAGTGCTGTGGAAGTACCATGGTACAGTGATGTTTCAGATGGTAATACCATGGTACTGCAATTGCTTCTTGGTTTACCAGTTAATTCCAAGAATAAAGTTACTTTCAAAAAATCATAGTAGTGCCATGGTACATGTCAAAACAATGGTATGCAGGTCCAAAATACATGTAATATGGTATTTTTGGTACTTTGCACTTTATTATTAAAAAATTTGGTTGGTAAAACTTTTTAATATTTTTGAAAACATCTCTTATCCTCATCAAGGCTGCATTTATCCTAACTTTTGAATGGTAATGCAGGTAGTCAAAATCTATTAAAAAGAGCAAATTCACATAAGTAATAAACATCTTAAAAACCTCTGCTCGATGCTTTAACATTAAACGGTTAGTTCACCCAAAAATGAAAATTCTGTCATTAATTACTCACCCTCGTGTTGTTCCAAACCCGTAAGACCTTCGTTCATCTTCAGAACACAATTTAAGATATTTTCGATTAAATCTGAGGGCTCTCTGACCCTCCCATAGACAGCAAGGTAACTACCACGTTCAAGGTCCAGAAAAGTACCAAGATGATCGGCAAAGGTAAAGTTACGAAGCTACGAGAATACTTTTTTGCGCAAAGAAAACTACAATAACGACAAAGTTCACGACAGTATCATGACGTGAGCGTGTGGCGGCGCTGACCCAGATCCGGCGTAATGACGTCATTACGCCGGATCTGCGTCAGTGCCGCCACACGCTTACGTCATGATACTGTCGTGAACGCGCGTCCACAAGTGACGCAGTAGAGACGAAAATGTTGAATAAAGTCGTTATTTTTGTTTTGATCGATCATCTTGGTACTTTTCTGGACCTTGAACGTGGTAGTTACCTTGCTGTCTATGGGAGGGTCAGAGAGCCCTCAGATTTCATCAAAAATATCTTAAATTGTGTTCTGAAGATGAACGAAGGTCTTATGGGTTTCGAACAACACGAGGGCGAGTAATTAATGACAGAATTTTCATTTTTGGGTGAACTAACCCTTTAAACATTTTAGCTAAATGTTTCAGATGAGAAACCACTATAAACAAGACTTCTACATTTTCTCACAAACTGCTTTGTGTTTGCAGTGCATGCTGTTCTGGGTGGTTGCTTACTTTTCCAAGTCAAAAGAGTCAAATATTGTAAGTCTGAATGTTTAGAAAAACAATAGTGCACCTCTTCTCAAAAAGCCACATGATTTAATCATTCGTTTCCACATTGAGTTTCCTGTTGCAAAATAATTCATTTTTCTATAGCAGTAGTTCAGGTCGAGTTATGTGCCAAAGTTTAATAGGTACAGCGGTAAAAAGGAAGAACCGAAGTTTCTGAAGATTCCAAAACAAATGAAGCAGCCCAGTGCAAACCTCTCATGAATATCCACTGAAACACTGCAAATATGATGATATTCCAAACAAACATATTGTCAAAACAGGACTGATAATCCAAAGCGCAAGTTGTCCTCTTCTTATGATAACTTAGACAAAAGACGCCCATAATCAGGGTAGCCAATGCTGAGATACTACTAGAAGGATCCATCTGACCCTGAAGCCAAGATACTGTCAGTGATGACTATGTGAAGACATTGAAAATGTTGTTTTGCAACCACACCATTTATGTAACACTTCGATAAGACAAATTCCAGTGAAACAAGAGCAAGAGTGTTGAATGCTAAACAGTACTGTAGGTACGTTTACATGCAATCAAATAATGCATTTATAATCAGATTGATGATTCATGTAAACTGAATGAAATTTTGATCTATTTGAAAGGGGCGGTGTAAATCTAAAATAATCTGTTTAACATGAAAATTTTAGCTATGTAAACCCTTGAATCTGACTACTTTCTTAATCAGATTCCAAATTAGCTTGCACACACATACAGTGACTTGATATGTATGTTTCTTAATGCACTGCATCTTACTGGTCAGTGGAGGAGCCATTTACACGACACCGTTTTCAACTAAAAATGGAAAATGTTTTATGCGTTTTGGTCATTCATTTACACGACAATGCGTTTTGGAAGCCTGAAAATGCTAACTTTTAAAAACAGGTTAAAAAGGGCAAGTTTTTGAAAACAATAATATTATCGTCGCTGTGTAAACTACGAAAAATTAGTAAAAACAGTGACATCATATGCATATGCATTTACGTGTTCAGTCCATTGTTATGTGTGCTGGTGCGTAGCGTTTCTTTACAAAGTGACATAGCCAACTACTAGCCTGGCAATGCATAATACAGCATTTTTACAGATCCATGTGAACGGGGATCGTTTCGACAATGTTGTCGTCTGTGCACAAAACTTTTAAAAAACATTTTTAATACAATCGTTGTTGTGTAAACGTACCCTGAACATTTACTACATATTTGCTAAAAAGCTTTTCTGACGGGTATGTCAAATTTCTTTTCAGGCATATCATCAAGGCAAAAATGGCAATTTTGCTTGCAGTAGATATGGTGACGTTTTCACAGTGGCTTTTTCCAGTTCTGAATGCAGCAACTGGACATTGCACATGCACCGAAATCTTTCTCAGAATAGATGTAATCCACGTGTAAATGTTTTCCTGTGGCTCAGTGGTAGAGCATTGCATTAGCAGTGCAAAGGTTGTGGGTTCAATTCCCAGGGAACACACATACTGGTAAAAAATGTATAGCCTGAATGCACTGTAAGTCGCTTTGGATAAAAAGTGTCTGCTAAATGCATACATTTATTTATTAAACAAATATGTGAATTGGATTGCAAAGTTCAGGGTTCATATGAACAGAACTTTCAGAATCTCAAATCGAATTGATTTCATTCTGATTGACTGAAATTAGTGCACCACAGCTAAGAAACACACACACACACACACACACACACACACATGTTGTGTTTCCATGTTTTATTTCAGATGTGGGACACCAGGTCTTACCTTTCTTTGACTTGGCACCGATCTTTAGCTTGGAAGGCCATGCAATCTGAGTATCTGTCTCCTCCATGACCTGTGGGGCAAAAAGGACACACATGTTAAAAGGTCAAGGTCAATTCCCACTAATACGTTTAGTGTAGGGTTTTTTTGCACCAAAAATAGTAATAATTTGGATTTAATCACAAACTCTCACTCTCTTTCTGACACTGGACAATCATGTTAATGTGCTCATTGTTGTCATTGCCCAACTATTAATTTCAAATGTAATTTCAGCTATTTTCTTGGACAACTGTTTGTGCAAAGATTGTGAATGTTAGAGTATGTCCATATAGTAAACGAATGAAATAATTAATTTTTTTTTTACAATAATTACAAGCCTCTTATGCTCACCAAGGCTGCATTTATTTGATTAAAAATACAATAAAAATGGCAATATTGTTACATACTTTTACAATTTAACATAACCGTTTTCTATTTGAATATATTTTAAAATGCGATTTATTCCTGAAAGCTGAATGATCCTTGAGAAATCATTCCAGTATGCTTAAATTCTTATTATTACCAATGCTGAAAACAGTTTTGCTGCTTTTAATATTTTTGTGAAAACCATGATACACTACCATTCAAAAGTTTAGGGAAAAGTACAAAAAATAAATAAATAAAAAATTTTATTCAGCAAGAATACATTAAATTGGTCAAAAGTGACAGTGAAAACATTTGTAATGCTACAAACATTTTTTATTTCTACTAAGTGCTTTTATTTTGAACTATCTATTCATCCTGAAATAAAATGTAACACATTTTTCACAAAAATATTAAGCAGAAAAAAACTTTTCAACACTGATGATAATAAGAGCCATTATTAATAAATGAGCATCAGTGATAATTAATAATAACTGAAAACCAAATCAGCATTTTAAAATGATTTCTGTAGGATTGTGTGACACTGAGGACTGGAGTAATGATGCTGAAAATTCAGCTTTGCCATCACAGGAATAAATTACATTTTAAATATATTCAAATAGAAAATAGTTATTTTAAATTGCAATTGTCACCCTTTTAGTTGCCGTGGACACCTTGTTTCTGTGTTTTCCTGTGTTCTGTTTTGTTTTAGTTCCTGTGCACCCTTATTTGGTTATGTTCCCGGTCTTGATTAGTTTACCTCCATCACCTGTGTTTAGTTAATTATCTTCATCTGTCTATGTATTTAAGTTGCTCTCTTTCAGTCACTTGTTGTTTGGTCACTGTTATACTAAAGCCGAGTTCACACTGCATGATTTTAGCCCGATTTTTCACTTGCCGACAGGTTTTGCGAAATCGCCGACAAATGCCCGAAATCAGAGGCAAATCGGTGCTCGTTCACGCGAGTGACAATCATGCAGTGAGAATTATCAAAGACACGATCTGAAGGAATCGCCGACGCGTCGCAGACGCCCGTGAAATATTTGGCATGCTAAATATCTGGAGCTGTCGGCGATTCACAATCACGCTGTGTGAAATGAGTTCTGACTGAAAAACACATCGGTGATGTCCTACAGCCAATGAGAGACCAAGATACAGGGCAGCGGGAAGTTCGGGGAGGAGTTATAGACCAGAATATCAGTATTTTAATAGATATATATATACTTTTTTTTAAATAATTGCAGTCTTGCTTGCGAGAACTCCGGTCTGACGCACGCCTGTGATCTACGACGTTATAACAATTTATGCCGAGTTCACACTGCACGATTTTAGTCCGATTTTTCACTCGCCGACAGGTTTTGCGAAATCGCCGACAAATGCCCGAAATCGGAGGCAAATCGGTGCTCGTTCACGCGAGTGACAATCACTCAGTGTGAATTATCAAAGACGCGATCTGAGGGAATCGCCGATGCGTCGCCGACGCCCGTGAAATATTTGGCATGCTAAATATCTGGAGCTGTCGGCGATTCACAATCACGCTGTGTGAAATGATTTCTGACTGAAAACTACATCGGCGATGACCTACAGCCAATGAGAGACCAAGATACAGGGCAGGGGGAAGTTCGGGGAGGAGTTATATGAAACGTAGTTTGCGGACCAGTGTTGCCAAATCCGCGATTGCCGCCGGTTGTTTTTTATGTCAGCAGGTTGAAGCGACCCCAATAATGTGATATTTAGGCCCTGGAATGTGAATTGTACCAGGAGAACCCCGCCAAAAAAATGTGTATTTTACCCCCGAACTTGATTTTTACTGGGGGACCCCCTCGAAAGCAATTGGGCTATTTTCAGGCTAGTTTTGAGTAGTAATTGGGTGGGTTTTGTAGCGAAAACCTGGCAACCCTGCACCAGACAGAGCTGTCGGCGATTCTTCCTATTGTAAAGTCATGCAGTGTGTAACCTCCTGTCGTCGTTCCATCGTGCAGTGTGAACACAGCAACAACTGAATGCTACCCCAGATAGTCGTTCAGTGTGAAACCAACAGTGATGCGACGTCTTTGAGAATCGTGCAGTGTAAACTCGGCATTAGTTGTGGTTTCCCTTGTTTATCTGCCTGAGTTTTGAGTCCATTATTAAACAGAGTTTTGGACTTTACCTGTTGTCGCCTTCGCCTTGCTTCGCAACACAACCTGTGACAGCAATGATATTTAACAATATTACGTTTTTTTTTTTTTTACAGTTTTTTTTCGATTAAACAAATGTAGCCTTGGTAAGCAGAAGAGACTTCTGTCAAAAACACTGAAAATTATTCAAATCTTTTGACAGAGTTTATATCCATCATTCACACTCTTATTCTATTATATTAGCCTTTTAAATACTTGGAAAAAAAGGTACATCTACTGTATATAACTGCATCTTAACTATCCAATATTATGATAAAGCTGCTGCATGTAGCACTTTAGTTTGTCTTCACTTCCTCTCCATGGTAATGATCAACATCAGAAATTGGGCTTATTCACATTCCAATTAAATTGGGTTATTCACGTTCCAATAATCTGATGTTGGTCATCTGAAAAAAAAAGTCAAGAGCCTGTCTGCTTAATATGTTTTTAATGATAACCCACTAATTACAACATCACAGCAGAGCCAAAAAAGAAATGTGCATTCCTGTTAAGATTAAGATTTTCAGAGTACTGAACATGGGAGGAGTTTCAGACCTTTCTTTCAGATTTAGATGACAAGAAAAAGAAAACAACATGCATATACAGGTAATTCATTATCAAAATATGTATCCCTCAACCTTAACAACGCATAATGATGCTTTGGGAATTTTATTTAGACGACTAACTTTATTTCATGTGGTGTACTATACTGAAATACAGGTGTTTTGTAAGACAGTAAAGGAAAAGGTTTAGGTTTTAGGCTTTGGTTCTGCATTTCAACTTAAATGTTTAACTTTTACAAATGTGTCTGCGATGCATCAAGCTGTTTTTGAATGCAACCGCCCCTAAAGACACTATATGGTTGCAAGAAAAGAAAAGATTAATCACAATTCAGTATGCAATTGCAAACAGATGTTAAAGACCAACAAATTCTATATTTGACAACAGAAGATAATAATAATAAACTAAGAAAGAGCATCTACTGTAAGAATAAACCCTTTGCAAAAAACTTTAAAGTCTGTATGTTACAATTAGTGGTCAACCGATATTGTTTTTTTGACAGCCGATATCTTGGAAAGCAGGGTGGCCGATGGCCGATATAAAGCCGATGAAATTGTATTTATTTTAATAAATATTTAAGAAAATTTAAATCATTTGAAAATGGATTAAAAAATAAATTTGTAAAATAAACGTACTTATACTTTAGATGACAAAGTATTTTTCACAAAATAAATAAATATTTAATAAAAAATATAATTAAAAAGGAAGTAAACTTTAACCAACAGAGCACAACAGTATTCTGGGAAGTTTGTGTGCATTGGGAATCATATTTTTTC